TAATGAATTTCATAATTTAAATATTTTTTAATTGTAAATTATTTATCATCTAAACTATTATTTTATAAAATACATAAAAAAAAATATAAAATGAAAATCCATTGCAAATTATAGAATTGTAACTTGTAACATAGATATAAATCCTTATCTGTAAAGAAAAAAATTCCAAAAATTTTTCAAGAATCAAAGAGCTAGCATGGGTAAAGGATCCAAATTTTAATAAAATTATTTAGGGGCAATAAAAATTAAAAGAAAAATTATGTAAAAATTTATATTAGACCTCCCAAAATTCTAGTTAAGATTTCTTTTCAAAAATTAAAGAAAGTAACTAGCCCTAGGATTAAGTTCAGTAATTTTGAAAAGGTTGGAGACTATTGTTGGCTCAAATGAAAAGTTGAGATAATATCTATTATTTATAATAAAGGTTAAGGACTAAATTTGGTATTTACCCAATAAAGAATTATTTCATTTCATAAGATTGAAACATAAAGAAGGGAACATATGCGCTTAAGAGTCTATTTGTTATAATGGTTGATAATGGATAATGGATAGTGCTAGTGGATACTCCTTCCGTTTCATAATAATAAATTTTTTTTTATTTAAAATTTATCATAGAATATTTTTTATATGGTGTTTTAAAGTATAAGTTAAAAGTATATAAATATTTTTTTATCATAAATTTGTGTTAGAAGAGCAAAAGTTGACTTTTAATTTATTAATTGTTTGATTAAATTTATCTATGTGAAATAATACTTAAATTAATGTTAATTTTTACATATTCTATATAAATCTATGACAAAAAGATGCCCTCAACATTTTTTCTAAAAATACAAGTTAGAAAGATGAGTAAAAGTTAGTATACAATCATATATTATACATTTATCATAACTGCCAAACAAACAAAACTCAAGAAAAACTTAAAATTAAAAAAGAAAAAAAGAAAAAAAAAAGACAGACCTCACGCAGTAGTAGAAGCTTGTAGGGGCTTAATATTCAAATTTTAAACCACTTAACCTGTAACTTCATTGATTACTTTTATGCTAATACAATTTTGAATCATAAGGAAAGAAACATATGTGTGCTTAAATGAGGATCACACTCCTTTAGAAAAGTTACTTCTAAACCGAAGAAATCGGCTCAAAGCAAGGAATTGTTGGAGTACTGAAGAATAAAAAAAAAGGGAGAAAGAAGAAAGAAGAAGAAAAGAATGGAGTACTTTAAAGCATGCCAATAAAATTCTGGAATGAATCATAAAGAAACGAACATATGCGCCCACCCAGCGTCACATCAAAGTAAAGAATAAAGGATCATTATTTGCTTTAATTTCAGGGAAGAAAAAAAGAATAAAGGAATGCATGGAAGAAATAATGAAGATATGCGACAACTCTGGAGTAAAGTAGTGTGGGGCCGTTTGGGTTAAGCAGCCATCCAGATGCCTCTTGATTTAGAAAAAAAAAAAAAAAAATCATGTGTTGAGAATTTGCCAATTGACTAGATTAGAAAACCTGTAAACCAGAAAGAGATTCAAGATTCCTATTTAGTTTTTGGTAAAAAAAAAAAAGATTCCTTTTATGTTCACGTACATGTAGTTCTATTTTTTCTTTACTTTTCACCAATGAATTTTTCTGATTTGGTGGTTTGAGAATTAAGATGATGGGATGGGTTAATGACACATTGCTAAGGTTAAGAAAGAGGCAAACGTTGTGTAATTACATGTGTCAAGAGAAATGATTTCAATGGAATATCTCAAGCCTAGCTTGTAGGTGAGAAGGAAAATGTCTAAAGAATAAATATTTTTTAAAATTAATCATTAAAACCCAATTAAAACTCAAACACATGTTTCATACAATAATTTTAAGAAGGATTTTATTATTTTATGTTTTTATAATACAAATTAAGAATATATTTATTAAATATTTTTTTATTAATTTGCATATAAAAAAATAAGAGGCTGATTAATTTGCGCCCTCGTCAGTGCGACTCTTCAGCAAGATACCGTTAATAAAATAACATATTTATACCAATTTAGTGGGAAAAACACTTCATTTTACAGTCATTCACCCAATTATGGTTTATTCCTTTCTCCAAACAGAATGCTTTTCCAAAATCAAAGAGTTAGCATGGGGAAAGAATCCAAATTTTAATAAAAATAATTTTAGGGCAATAAAAATTAAAAAAAATTATGAAAAATTTTCTATTAGATCTCCCAAAATTCTAGCTAAGATTTCCTTTCAAAAATTAAAGAAACTAACTAGCCCTAGGATTAAGTTCAGTAATTTTGAAAAGGTTTGAGACTATTTTTGGCTCAAATGAAAAGTTGAGATAATATCTTGTATTTATAATATAGGTTAATGACTAAATTTGGTATTTGCCCAATAAAGAATTATTTTATTTCATAAGATAAGATTGAAACATAAAGAAGGGAACATATGCGCTTGAGAGTCTGTTTGCTATAATGGTTGATGGTGGATAATGAATAGTGCTGGGTAGATACTCTTTCTATCTTATAATAATATATTTTTTTATTTAGAATTTGTCTTAAAAATATTTTTTATAGGGTATTTTAAAATACAAATTAAAAAGGTAATAAATATTTTTTTTATCATAAATTTGTGTTAAAAAAACAAAAGTTGATTTTTAATTATATAGAATAATACTAAAATTAATATAGAATAATATTAAAATTAATGTTAATTTTTATATATTCTATATATTTATGACAAAAAGATACCCTTAACATTTTCTCTAAAGACAAAAGTTAGAAAGATGAGTAAAAATTAATATACAATTATATATAATACATTTATCATAACTTAAA